AAGCAAATGGCAAAATCTCCACTTATTCCCACAAAATCTGGCTTCACTCCCCCTCTAAACAATACTGCATATCTCCCAGTCTGTCCTTACCACTATTTAGGAATCATTTCATAGGAAATAATGTGCCACATGGCACCCACATATACTGGAAGTGTATGATGTGGCACAGAAAACCTCAGGGTCTTGTGTTCACACCTGTGAAAAAAGTGAGAAAATACAGATATTTCCCCAAGCTCCTTAGCATGCTTGTATTCCATATACTCTTTAGCTTAAAGATGTGTCCTAATGCTTCATCAATGAAATTTTCCAGCATTATCTCTCTGTTCATGTATCAATATGTGTCCAGACAATTTCTACAGACCACATGGACATTACGTTAAGAAGCAAGAAGCTGATAACGCCAGCAAGCAAGGAGGCCAGTGCACTGACCCTTGCAGAAACAGACATGGTTTTGCGAGGAGATAAGAGTCTCCCACCTCCATGGGTGGACCTCTGGAGTGACCAATGAGTGTGGACAGGCGCCAACGTCTACTCTCCCCTTCCTCTTTATAACCAGGGCTGCCAGGGTGATGAGTCCAAACCCACTCTGAGCGTCCATCGCAAGGAGACCGAGCCCGCATCTTCCTGCATGATGACGCTGACTCAAGCTGACAAGGCCGCCGTGGTCACCATCTGGGCAAAGGTGGCCACCCAAGCTGATGCCATTGGGGCAGAATCACTGGAGAGGTAAGTCCCCCCAAACTCCTCCGAAGAGGGTGCCTCCTCTGGCTTTGCTATTAGAATGCACCTCGTGTAAAACTTGCACGAGTGAGAGCACACCGGGACTGGTGAGAGCTGGTGGATGATATCTGTGTTGTTTGGTATGTAATTATATGGAATTGTATCTGTGCTACAAAATGCTTCAAAATCTCACAGCAAACCATATTTTTCTAAGCAATTTTATAGGTTTATTTCTCATTACAGCAATTCAGAATAATTCATAGCCAGGAGCCCTGGCAAGGAATTCAAAGCCATTCATATTCAGTCCTGAAACAGGGTTATCACTGTTCGGAAATGCACTTGAAGTGGTTTATTGTACAAGTGATGTGCTTTCTCTTGCAGTTTCTGGGCATTTAGAGAATAACCATCCACTAAATTCACTGGGTACTCATGTTTCATTGTTCCAGCGATAAGTAACAACCTGTTAGGAAACAAGGCTACTGGACCCCTAGCATGAAGTATAGTGCAGTAATCCAAAATTCATACAAATTAAGGAAGCTGGCACTAAAGGAATAACAGCCTGGAAGTTATTCAGAAATTGTTATTCAAAGTGTTATTTACAGCTCAACATAAAGCACTGTGATACTCCTTCCAGTATTCTGAGTACCATTCGTATCAATTCTGGTTCATTCAGCTTGTATTAGTTTGAAGGTCCTGCAGACTGGCTTACAATGTAATATAAAAAATGTAGTAATAATTTGTGGGCCATTATTTATTTAAAGCAAACAAAAATACATTAAGTTCTAATTTTTTTTTGCATGTCATTTTTCTCTAGTACATACAGATTAGCCCACTGTCTAATCTGTATGTACTGCAGAAGAAGGTTCAGAGAATAAAGACCTTCCTGACTGAACTTCTGTAGCTGGCAGGTTTACATTGCACTTGCTCTGAGGTTTTGCCGTGTCATGCATGCCATTTCCACTGCTCAATCTCATTCTCATGTTCTCCTCCAGGCTTTTCTTCAGTTACCCCCAGACAAAAACCTACTTCCCTCACTTTGATCTCAGCCAAGGCTCAGCTCAGCTTCGTGGTCATGGCTCCAAGGTCATGAGTGCTATTGGGGAGGCTGTGAAGAACATTGAGGACATTAGAGGTGCTTTGGCCAAGCTCAGTGAGCTACATGCTTACATCCTCAGGGTGGACCCAGTGAACTTCAAGGTGAGTGAGCACACAGACTTTCAGGGATGAAAACTGCTATCACAGAATAAAAGACCGTATATAATTTTGGCTAATGGCAGCTCGATCCCTGTCTGCACTGTGCAGCCTTGTCAACTCATGTTGCTGCTTGTTCTCCAGCTACTTTTTAACCTGAGATTGGATCTTTTAATGAAAGATCTGGTCTAGCTCCTATGCTTTGTGTTAGACAGATTCAAGTTTCTGTTGCCTTTGTTGTAGTTTATGAATCTCCTTCACACATCAGGTTTTATCACCTGTCTTGAACAAAGTCTTCTAAACATTTCCACTTTGTTGCATTTCCCTTTGGTGTGGAAGAAAGGGACATTTGGAAGATAGAGTGGAATCAGGCAGTGCCTTTTGCCCTACACCAAAGGCAACTCTGCTTTTTTATATATAACATCAGGCAGTGCTATCTGGCTGGGACACATACTTGTCATCCCAGAGCATACTGTGACCAAGACCCATTGCAGATCCTTAGACTAACATCTGTTACTGATTATGATGGATTTCATTCTGTTTTCCCTTACAGCTCCTTTCTCACTGTATCCTGTGCTCTGTGGCTGCTCGCTATCCCAGTGACTTCACACCAGAAGTTCATGCTGCATGGGACAAGTTCCTGTCCAGTGTTTCCTCTGTTCTGACTGAGAAGTACAGATAGACGATCTACACAGAGGATGAGGGATGCACATCCGTGGTGCACCCCAGCTGCCAGACCCTGGGTTTTTCATCCCTGCCTATGCAGTCCTCTCAAATCCCCTGTGCAGAGGCTCAGTCATCTGCAAAACCCAATAAATAATACAAATGTGAGCTAAAGTCTCTGTGTTTTCATCTCCATGTGTTCTACCTGCACTTGACTGTTCTGGCAGGGGTGCTCTGAAATTTCTACACAATATGAAAGAAAAAATACTAAACATTGTAAATTCATTTAATAATTAATGTACTAATGAGTTCATATACTAATTCATGTACTAAGCTGTGTAAATTCAGTGGAAATAGCATAACATAACATCATAACATATTCAGTGGGAGTAACATAACATTGAGCAGAAGCTCCTAACAAGCTACAGTCCTGTGATTATTACTGATCACCAAGGCCTATCCCCCAAAGACTGTTTCCAGGGTGATCAGGAAACAGTCTTTTACCCTGCTGGGCTATTGAATGGATCCAGGCTTTTTTGTTTGACATATCCAAAACCCATCACAGCCTGGTGTGAAAAAAAACTGCATTGCCATATATTGTGATGTGCCCAGAGAGATGGTGAGCATTGTCTTCTCATGCTCCTCTCCATGGGGTATGGGCAATGTATCCGATGTGCTTCATGAACACCTTGGGCTATCACACCTGCTAGACAGGTTTGGTAAAGGGACCATTCCCTCAGGTTGGCATCTCTTGTTTTTATATGTGGAACTTTACAAGCATTTGAAATTTGGGAATACCAGTGGCCACTGCAGATCAGTGTTGATGGCATTTCTGGGACCACAGCCTTCCAGGGTTTCTCTGAAAAGAAGTGACAGGGAAAAGAATGAAACTGATGGTCTCTCTGGCGGGCACAGGAATCCTCCATACATACCTGTTGTGGGTTAACCTCATTGGGCAGCTAAGAACTACATAGTTGCTCATTCACTTCTCCCCCTCAATGGGATGAGGGGAAGAGGAAAGGAGGAATAAAATCAAGAAAAGCTGGGGGTCACAATCAATCAAACAAACAAGGGAACATAAATAATGGTTTCATAAATGAAAGATAACTGGCAGAAGAAGGAAGAAAACAAAATAAAACAGGCAATGCAAAGGCAACCACCCACCATCTCCTGAGGGCAGCCCAGCGAGTTCCTGAGCCAAAAAGATGGGTAAACCCCAAAAAGCTCCCTGCCCCCCCCTCTTTTCCCTTTTATTGCTGAGCATGGCATTGCGTTGTATGAAATACCTCTTTGAGTAGTTTGTGTTATCTGCCCAGTTTTGTCCCCTCCCAGCATACTGCACACCCAAAAATCTATTCCTTGGCAGGGGCAGAGTGAAGAGCAGAGATGGCCTTGATGCTGTGCAAATGCTGCTCCCTAAAAGCTGGAAAAACAGTGTGTTATCAGGGCTGGTTTGGTCACAGATCTCAAGCACAGCACCGTATGAGCTGCTGTGAAGAAAGGTATTTATCAGGGTACATTTACTGTCCGTGTCTCTCTCAGAGGACTCCTAACATAAAAAGGTGTGTGCAAAGTCTTAAGCACACTCTGATCAACAGCCTGGGCTAGCACTGCAAGCTGTGGTCCTCATTTCATTTACAAACTGTAGGGACTGTGTTTGAGCAAGGGGGAGAGAGATGGTGTGGAAGCTCTGAAACCACCAAATTGCTCCAAATGTGTCACCAAGCGTACCACGGCAGTTTTAAAACGTTCCACATTTGTGGGTCTCGGGTAACCTGAGCATTTAAATCCGCAGCTTAGGTGCTCATCAGCATCTGGGGTGTCCCTAACCCCAAAGCTGTGCCAATGACTTCATACAGAGGCTGAGTGAAAGACGTGACCATCACCATCCACCTGTGGGATGTCCCAGAGTTTACGGCGAGAGGCAGGGGCACACACCAGGGTGGGAAGAAGGGAAGAAGCCCAGGCCTGACAAGTATCACAGAACAGACTTTGGGAAGAGCATGCACCAAAAAAGAGGCTCTTCCCCTCCCAGGTTTCTCTGGGCTGCAGAGTGATGGTCTTTCTCATGGCAGATTCCCAGCACGACCCAGGAGAGCTTGTCCATGGCTCTCTGCTTCAGGCAGAGAGGGGCTGGAGGACCTGAGGAGCCAGGGACATGTGTGGGACCCACCCCAACACATGGCCCGCATGGCAGAATGGTGGATCTCAATAGGAGGCTTGTGGATGTGCTGGCACCCTCGGGACATGCCCGTGGCTGCTGCTAACCATGGGGTAGCACAGCTGGGTGCTGCCTCCAGCCGCAGCCTGGTGTGGGGCTGGTGCAGGCGACAGGGCAGGGCAGCCGGGGCCCCCTCAGGGCTGGGCCCCCCAGGGCAGTCAGGGCCCCCCGAGGCAGGGCCCAGTGCTGCACATCCAGGGCTCCCCTCGCCCCTCGGCACCGATAAGATAAGGCCAGGGTGGAGATGCCGGCTGCTATAAGAGGGTGGCCCCCGGTACACGGCTGCCACCGAGAGCTGCCTGCCTCTGCCAGCCGCCGCCATGCTGACCGCTGATGACAAGAAGCTGATCCAGCAGGTCTGTGAGAGGTCGTCCAGCCACCTGGAGCAGTTCGGCACCGAGGCCCTGGAGAGGTGCAGGCCGGGCCCCATGGGCAGGGGGGCAGGCGGGTGGGAGCCCCACGGGGGTTGGTGTGGGGGATCAGTGGCACTGACCATCCGGCTCCGGCAGGATGTTCATCACCTACCCCCAGACCAAGACCTACTTCCCCCACTTCGACCTGCAACATGGCTCTGACCAGATCCGCAGCCATGGCAAGAAGGTGGCGACCGCCTTGGCCAATGCTGCCAAGAACCTGGACAACCTCAGCCAGGCCCTGTCTGAGCTCAGCAACCTGCACGCTTACAGCCTGCGTGTCGACCCCGTCAACTTCAAGGCAGGCGGGGGACAGGGGACCAGGGATAGGGAAAGGGGGACAGGGGACCAGGGATAGGGAAGGGGGGACAGGGGACCAGGATAGGGAAAGGGGGACAGGGGACCAGGGATAGGGAAGGGGGGACAGGGGACAAGGATAGGGAAAGGGGGATAGGGGACCAGGATAGGGAAAGGGGGACAGGGGACCAGGGATAGGGAAGGGGGGACAGGGAACCAGGGATGGAGGAAGAGGGACAGGGGACCAGAGATAGGGAAAGGGGGACAGGGGACCAGGGATAGGGAAAGGGGGACAGGGGACAAGGGATAGGGAAAGGGGGACAGGGGACCAGGGATAGGGAAAGGGGGACAGGGGACCAGGGATAGGGAAGGGGGGACAGGGGACCAGGGATAGGGAAGGGGGGACAGGGAACCAGGGATGGAAGAAGAGGGACAGGGGATGGAGGACGGGGGACAGGGATGGGATGGGGGAATATGGTTCACAGCAGCGGTGCTGAGCCTTGTTTTGTCTTGCAGCTGCTGTCGCAATGCTTCCAGGTGGTGCTGTCTGTGCACCTGGGCAAGGACTACACCCCCGAGGTGCATGCTGCCTTCGACAAGTTCCTGTCCGCCGTGGCCTCCGTGCTGGCCGAGAAGTACAGATGAGCTGCCACCCGCACACGGGTGCCATCAATAAAGACACTTCTGCTGCAGCACTATGTCCGTCTGTGCTGGGGCCGGGGCCTGGGGCAGGATGCAGTGTTGCAGTCGTCACACCAGAGGGAGGGAAGGAAAGAGGGAGGGAGGGAGAAGGGGAGGGAGAAAGCTGCTGGTGAGGCTGGTCATGGTACAGGGGAGCAGCACTGGCCATGGGCTTCCTGGATGCCCCCCCAAGGTCCTGCCTGCTTCCACCCTGCCCCAGCATGGGATGTGGCTGATGCTGGTAGCAGGAGCCATGGAATGCAGCTCAGCCTCTCACCTTGCTGTGCCTGCATCCCTCGGGGGGGGGGGGGGGGGGAAGGAGAAGAATGACTTCTACTGCTGAACCCAGGACAGTATCCACCCTTTATTCCATACCATTCATGTCATGCTCAGATCCCACATTTTTCAATATACCATCACTCTTGTCTCATATATATATATATACATACACACACACACAAAGAGAGAGAGAGATCATTCCTTAGTGCATGGACCAATCCCTATAAATCTGTTGAGTTCATTCTGTTGAGTTCATCCGGTCCATGATGTCGGCCTCCATCTCATGTAGCAGTCTTTCAGAGCAGGAGAGGCTGTGTGCAGTGTTGGATCATTGCCTGCTGATGATACCGCAGAACTCGTCTGGTTTCATCAAAGCTCATTCTTTGTTGGGATGATGGTTGGAGGAAAGTCAGGGCCAGACATTGGTGACCTGAAGACATCTAGTTGGTAGGCTAGAAAAGTGCTACATAGCAGGCAACAGCATACAATTGAGTTCATTGGCTGTTTTTCCCTAAAATCGAATCCCCTTGAGGTACACATCTGACTTCCCCATCTTCCCGCGATACCCACCAAGTATATCCAGGTCCCTGAGCAAAAGCAATCCAATGAGTGGGTTTGCCTTTACCTGAAGCAGGAATAACCGAGGCTGTCTTCCCCAGCAAATTCTTCCTGTGCACCACGAGAACTTTATCCCCTTCTACAGTATGTAAAAGTTCTGACTGGGCTGGGCCCGCCCTGTTGGCAGATCCTCTGGTGTTGACCAACCAGGTGGCTTTTGGTAAATGTGTATCCCAATGTTTGAAAGTCCCACCACCCATTGCTCTCAGTGTAGTTTTTAACAGCCCATTTTCCCAGAGGCTGGTGCATGGCAGGGGATGTGATATACCCACTTGATGCCATGCTTTTTGGCCCAAGTGTCTGCAATGTTGTTCCAGAAGTGAATCCCATTGTCTGACTGAATTCACTCTGGGGTGCCGTGTCACCACAAAACCTGTTTCTCAAGGCCCAGGATCGTGTTCCGGGCAGTGGCATGGGGCACAGCGTATGTTTCCAGCCACCCAGTGGTTGCTTCCACCATGGTAAGCACATGGCGCTTGCCTTGGCAGGTTGTCAGCAGTGTGATATAGTCAATCTGCCAGGCCTCCCCATGTTTGTACTTCAGCCATCACCCTCCATACCAAAGAGGCTTTAACCGTTTGGCTTGTTTAATTGCAGCACATGTTTCACACTCATGAATAACCTGGGCAATAGTGTCCATTGTTAAGTCCACCCCTCAATCACAAGACCATCTGTATGTTGCATCTCTGCCCTGATGGCCTGAAGTGTCATGGGCCCACCGGGACAAAAATTCACCTTTATGTTGCCAATCTAAGTCCATCTGAGCCACTTCAATCTTAGCCGCTTTATCCACTTGTTGGTTGTTCAGGTGCTCCTCAGTGGCCCGACTCTTGGGTACATGGGCATCTACATGACGTACCTTCACCACCAGGTTCTGCACCCGGGCAGCAATATCTTGTCACAGTTCAGCAGCCCAGATGGGTTTACCTCTGCGTTGCCAGTTGCTCTGCTTCCATTGCTTCAACCACCCCCACAGGGCATTTGCCACCATCCATGAGTCAGTATAGAGATAAAGTACTGGACACTTTTCTCATTCAGCAATGTCCAGGGCCAGCTGGATGGCTTTCACCTCGGAAAACTCACTTGATCCACCCTCTCCTTCAGCAGTTTCTGCAACTTGTTGTCCGGGGCTCCATACAACTGCCTTCCATCTCTGATGCTTCCAAAGTAGTGGAGGGGCCCACTGGACTAGATACTTGCCCATCCTGCCCCACACACCCTGCCACTCATGACTGTCAATCCTTGGGGAAAATCTCTTGGTGGTCCTCCTATATCATCATCTAATCCTAGACAAGACTTGAGCTGGACTCTGCTTAGCTCCCACAATTGGACAAGATTGGGAGTTTTCAGGGTGATGTGGCCGTAGCCAAAACAGAGAGAGCATAGGCAGCAACAAGCTGGTTCCCAGCAAGAGGAGCAGGGTGCTTTCAAGGGCATTGAAAGGATATTCAGGATCTTTAAATATTCCAGAATCTACTCCCACTGTAAATAGTCTGGTGGAGGAGCAGAGGGTGTGAGGGAATGTCTCCTTCATAGACTGACCACCCGAGGGGGAAAAAAAAGATGCGTAATTGCTAAACACTTCCATTATATACCTCCCAAAGTATAGAGGTGATGACCACACTGGGAACACAAACTAGCCCAGATTCATGATCAATGAGTCTATTGTATTGCAAGTCATTGCCATGAAGTACAGCAAAACAATAACCTTAGCCCAGCCGATAAACAATAAAACAGCAAACACCATCTGCAAATAAGGTACGTAGGACATGCCGGAAACTCTGAGATCAAGAGCGACAATTTGAGAGCCAATAAATTAGCATTGTGATGAGTGACTGTTAATCCAAAACAATAAATGCTTATCACAAATATGATAAGACACACTCTGGTCAGATCTGCCATTATCTCAACCCTTCACACCCCACATTGGGTGCCACAAAGAACTGTCATGGTTTAAGCCCAGCTGCAACCCGGAACCACGCAGCCACTCACTCACTTCCCCCCTTCCTCCACACCCCCAGCCCTGGAAGGATGGGGAGGAGAATCGAACGAATGTAACTCCCACAGGCTGAGATAAGAACAGCCCAGTATCATAATTATATAATAATAATGATAAGGGAAATAACAAGGGAAGAGAATACAACCACTACCACCTGCCAACTGATACCCAGCCTGACCTGAGCAGTGATCTGGGCCTTCTGGGTGACTGCCCCCAGTTTATATACTGGGTATGATGTGCTGTGGTATGGAATACCTCTTTGGCTAGTTTGGGTCAGGTGTCCTGTCTCTGCTTCCTCCTGGCTTCCCCTCCTCCCTGGCAGAGCTTGAGACTCAGAAGAGTCTTTGGCCAGAGTAAACATTACTGAGCAGCAACTAAAAACATTGGTGTTATCAGTGCTGTTCCCAGACTGAAAGTCAAAACCACAGCACTTCACCAGCTACTAAGAAGGAGAAAAATGACTGCTACTGCTGACCCCAGGACAGTTGGGCTAAATCAAATGTCAAATCCCCTTGAAGGATTATCTAGGGGCATAGGATGAATCCTTCCTGGCTCCGTCTATCACAAGGGTTGCTTAGGACTTCATTGGGGATGCTGTGGGAGCGAAATGCCTGTATGAGCTCCAAAAGCAATCAGACAAGTTCATAGAGTGAAAGAAGTCCACTACAGACCATGAAGCACTCTGTTACTGGGCTCAAGCCCCTGAGCCACAAATCCCCACTGACAGCCAGCCTGGGTGTGTGCTCTTCCCCTGGCACGTGGACAGGGTGGCAGTGGGGGGGGCAGAACTGCAGTCCAGCACAGTGCAGTGGTTTCTGGGGTTTGGAGCCTGAATTAAAAAGCCTATTGGATTTAGATCACAGCTGATGTGTTACAAGAAACTAAACTAGCCCTGGGGCTGCTCTGTGTATGACACCAGAGGGAGGAGATGAGCATTCGTGACGGGTGGGAGATGGTGCATCAGGAGAGCGGTGCCCACAGTAGCCAAGTGCGAGCAGCAGTGGGGTGCTGGGTGGATTGGTTCCCTGGACTACACTCACCCATGCTCCTGCGAAGGCACTCATGAGCCCAAAGCACTTTCCCTCCATCCTCACACATATCCTAGTCTACATCCCTGAGTCTTCATGTCCATTTACACCCATCCATTTATCCTTGTGCCACTAGTCTGAAGGGCTCTTCTGCCTTTGCAGTTTGTCCCCTGAAGCATGCACGTCGGTGCCCCCACAGATGTTTTCCTGGGCTCTGCTTCCAAGAAGATCAGCCCCCCCATCCTCCTCCCCACCCCATCCTCCCTCCTTCCCTGCTCTGAAATGGTGCCAGCTAGAGCTAATCTCCCCCAAACACAAATGATAAGAACCATCGGCCATGGAGGAAACACGGGTGTGAACTGTCCCCTGCCTGCCTGCACCACCTCTTGAGCCTACTGGAGGCACCTCAAGCCCTCTCACTGTCCTCATCTTCCTCATCTTCCTTGCCCTTACTGTCTCGCTGTCATCATTTGGAGCACACAGGGCTTGCCAGGGCTGCTGGGCCCTGCATGCCTTCCTTCCCTGACTGTCAGCTCCTCCTGCCAGTGCTTGCATCAGTGCAGGCACTGACCCCCATGGTCCTACAAAGTGTTCCCCCTTCCCAGGATACAGGGTCACCGGGTCCCTTGCAGCACTGAGACCAGCACAACACATGTGCAGGAGAGAGGGCTGGAGTAGGAGAGCCCCGCGACCTGTGTTCAGAGGGATGTAACTGGGGTTCAGGGAGCAGGGGGTGAAACGGGAACACACTTTGGGTTACACTGGTTTGAGGTGCACTGAGGAAACAAGAGCAGGAGGTTCAGTGGGGCAGCATGGCTGAGTGGCTGTGTGTACAGGGGCCACGCTGGCTGGCAGGGTGTGTGTGAGCAAGGATGGTGCACGTGCAGGGGCTGTGTTAGACGCAGTGTGTGTATGAAGCAGTTCACATGTGTGCATGGAAGCTGACTGTCTGTGCAGGTGCTCGCGGGTCCATGTCTGGGTTCTGGGGTGCTAGGCAGGTTCAGTCTGTGGGGCACAGGCACTATTGAAGACCCAGCCCCACACTGCTGTCCTCACCACCCTTCCAGCACACATCCCGGCTGTGCCA